TATAGTGAGGGTCTGCTGGGAACGTCTGGCGGAATCCCCCGTCAGGGGGAGTTTCAACTCCTACCTCCGGCAGAACTTCTCCCATGTCCCGGGGGAGGTGGGGGACATTGAGTCCGAATGGGCCATGTTCCGTGCCTCCATTGTGGAGGCAGCTGACCGGAGCTGTGGCCGTAAGGTGGTCGGTGCTTGTCGCGGCGGCAATCCCCGAACCCGCTGGTGGACACCAGCGGTGAGGGATGCCGTCAAGCTGTAAATGGAGTCCTATCGGGCTTTTTTAGCCTGTGGGACTCCAGAGGCAGCTGACAGGTACCGGCAGGCCAAGCGGGGTGCGGCTTCGGCGGTCGCTGAGGCAAAAACTTGGCTTTGGGAGGAGTTTGGCGAGGCCATGGAAAATGACTTCCGGACAGCTTCGAGGCGCTTCTGGTCCACCATCTGGTGGCTCCGGGCGGGAAAGCGTTGCAACATCAACACTGTGGATGAGAGTACCTTAAGGCTCTGGATGCTGTGGGGCTGTCCTGGTTGACACGCATCTGCAGCATCACGTGGACATCAGGGGCAGTGCCTCTGGACTGGCAGACCGGGGTGGTGTTCCCCCTCTTTAAGAAGGGGGACCAGAGGGTGTGCTCCAACTATAGGGGGATCACACTCCTCAGCCTCCCTGGTAAGGTCTATTCGGGGGTTCTGGAGAGGAAGGTCCGCCGGACTGTCGAACCTCAGATTCAGGAGGAGCAGTGTGGTATTCGCCCCAGCCGTGGAACAGTGGACCAGCTGTATACTCTCCGCAGGGTTCTGGAGGGTTCATGGGAGTTTGCCCAACCAGTCTACATGTGTTTTATGGACTTGGAGAAGGCATTCAATCGTGTCCCTCAGGAAGTCCTGTGGGGGGTGCTCCGGGAGTATGGGGTGCCGGGCTTCCTTTTAAGGGCTGTTCGGTCCCTGTATGACCGGTGCCAGAGCCTGGTCCGCATGGGCGGCAATAAGTCGGACTTGTTTCCGGTGAGGGTTGGACTCCGTCAGGGCTGTGCTTTGTCACCGATTCTTTTCATAGTTTTTATGAACAGAATATCTAGGCGCAGCCAGGGCGTTGAGGGTGTCCGGTTTGGTGACCTCAGGATTAGGTCTCTGCTTTTTGCAGATGATGTGGTTCTGTTGGCTTCATCGGACCGTGACCTTCAGCTTTCGCTGGGACAGTTCGCATCCGAGTGTGAAGCATCTGGGATGAGAATCAGCAGCTCCAAATCCGAGACCATGGTCCTCAGCCGGAAAAGGGTGGAATGCTCTCTCCGGGTCGGGGATGGGGTCCTCCCCCAAGTGGAGGAGTTTAAGTATCTCGGGGTCTTGTTCACGAGTGGGGGGACGATGGAGCGGGAGATTGACAGGCAGATCGGTGCGGCGTACGCAGTGATGCGGGCGCTGCATCGGTCTGTCATGGTGAAGAAGGAGCTGAGCCAAAAGGCAAAGCTCTCGATTTACCAGTCGATCTANCTGCATCGGTCTGTCATGGTGAAGAAGGAGCTGAGCCAAAAGGCAAAGCTCTCGATTTACCAGTCGATCTACGTTCCTACCCTCACCTATGGTCACGAGCTGTGGGTAGTGACCGAAAGAACGAGATCGCGAGTGCGAGCGGCCAAAATCAGTTTCCTCCGAAGGGTGGTTGGGCTCTCCCTTAGAGATAGGGTAAGGAGCTCGGTCATCTGATTAGGATGCCTCCTGGATGCCTCCCTGGTGAGGTGTTTCGGGCATGTCCCACTGGGAGGAGGCACCAGGGAAGACCCAGAACACACTGGAGGGACTATGTCTCTCGGCTGGCCTGGGAACACCTCGGGATTCCCCCAGAGGAGCAGGATGAAGTGACCAGGGAGAGGGATGTCTGGGGTTCCCTGCTGAGACTGCTGCTCCCGCGACCC